TAGCATTTAACTGTAGAGGGCACTGCATGGCAAAATTTTAGTACTCTTTCTATTTGTCAATGATCTCTCAAACGGTGTTTCATTTAAAATGAAAGTAAGCTCTGCAAAATTGATAGAAAATGAATATAATGTAACATTTGTTGAAAGCTCAATATAGGAGAAAACAAATACCGTACATACAATTTTTAATATTGGTTTATAGAATTATATAACATAATTTTGTAAACAACTGTACTCTTACTACTGTAAAACATGTCTTTTTCGCGAGCATGTCTTTTTCGCGAATTTAGCGAGAGAACTGATTTGCTAATTCAAGATGTCGCTAATGACTTTATTATCAATTCAAAATGGCCACCAAACAACGAAATCAACAATGACAAGAGATTTGCTAAATCAACATTTCGCTATTACGTCATTTTACCACAATTCGCTAAAATTACATTTTACATGCTTATGTTTTTTTAAATATGGCGTTGAGATATACTTACTTCATCAAAATTAACCACCACCAAATGTGTATAGCACATTAAGCATAAGCATCTCAGAATGAACAGAAATCTTGCAAAAAAGTCAGTGATTTCTTGCAAACACTCACTTTGTGGATTCATTTTTAATCCACTCAATTAACAATGTAAACTAATACATAATCAATTTTACATGTTGAGTAACTGATCAAAATGTTTCCTGGTCACTACCAGAATTAGGATTAAGTTTGGTTACTCAGTAACCGTATCTATTTGAAGCCTACTTGATAAGTAGATTAATATTCTGATAGAACAATACCCAACTTTAAAAACACATAGCTTTCAAAGCAAAATATGGTGTACAAAATAAAAATATTTTCAATATAAATAAACATAGCAATATTTGGACTATACTAGCATAGGATTAACTGGCCATTCATTTCCCCTCAAATTTTAAATTTACTCAATAAAGTTTCCTGGTATGTTAGCTAGTTACTACAATTGAGAGTATCATACGAGTTGAATAGACGCATGTTGTTTCTCAGAAATATCTTCAAAGGTACAAATGAACCTTTGGATCCTAAGATGTTATAATTACATTTTGTCCAACTTTATTGTTTTTGATTGTTAAAATCGATAAATACATTTTCCATTGATATCTGTACAATACAAAATCAACAATTTTCTCCACCACAAAACCAAGGCTTTGAATAGTAAAATATCAACCTAAAACTGCTCATTTCTGCTGATTGGAAGGCAATCAACATCCATTGATTGACTGAAGAGATGACAAAAGTTATTGCTATTACTTCAAGGCACAATGTGAATTTCAATTAAGTTGACATTCCAGTATCAGCTCTATCTTAATCCCAGTTACAAATCAGAAATCAATCAAAATTGAGTCACTGCCAAGGTCAATTCACAAACTAATCAGTCTGATATTATTTGTTAATGCTATATTATCAGTAAATTGAACCTAAGCTGACCTGACCTGACCTGACCTGACAATTTCCAAGTATTAAAGAACCATTGAGCTACTTTCAATTGCAATTTTGTTGGTATTTTTAATGCATGTAATACTGAGTCTGAATAACCAAAATTCACATTAACAACTGAAAAATTTAAATTCAGTTCTAATAAAAATTCATTTTTCTCTATCTAGGAATAATTATAACAAAAATTACTGAATTTCTAATCTCTAATGTTAGTGAGTTACAAAGTATATATAGCACCCTCAAGTCAAATGAAGAGTAGAGCTGTAGTATAACACCGCCCCCTCCCCCATCTTGTTGCAAAAAAAAGTGCTGATGACAGAAGTAATCATGGAAAATAGGTTGATCAACCAATATGCTAATACAATTATTAAACACCATACTTGCCATTCTTGGCATGGTGTGCCATGAAACTTGAGGTTTGCACAGAATAATAAGTTCAACTGCCATTCACACTTGTTTTGTCAGCACTGGTATATGCAAAGGTTTGTAATATGAGACCATTTACATGTACATATATTATACAAGTGTTCAATTAAACTAACTTTTTAGTAAAAAAATATTGACTAATAATAAAACATAGTACATGTCATTAAAAATATTAATGACTGTTACTATGACAACATCAAATGTATTTGTATTCTAACAGTACATAAAATAAAATAAATGTTTATAACCATTCATAAAAGTTCATTTATATAAAAGTGACCAACAATGACTAAAAAGAAAATTAACATATTTGCTCTATTAGTAGTGCCTATGCTTATGTAAAAAAACAAAAAACAGCCATGTCTATATGGTTAACTAAATATTTTGTTTAAAGATCCCATGATGCACTGGTTTTAGAAGTTGACTGTAAAACTTTCAAAATTAATATTTATGAATGCCAATTCAAATTAAAAACAAGAGGTTGTTATCTGCTATTGGAATCACTTTAGTACCGCCCTCTACGAACAAGGCAGATTACTGATTGGATGACGCTAAAATCATTTTGAAATTATATTCATCTGGTGTGACATTTGAGTTTCTAAATGTTATTTAAATAATAATAAATTAACCATAAACCATATTCACGGTTATTTCAAAATGAGTGCATTGGAAAGGTGCATCTACATGTATTAATATAAATAGAGAAAATATAAATAACAATTTCTGTATATAGTAACTACCGGAAACAGAAAATGGAATATGTTTGAATATATATAACAGAATAAAAAAAAAACTTATAAACTACAAAAAGAATATTTTAATAAACTTATCAATGTACCCATTGTATATATCGATGTATACATGTATCTGAATTTAGATCAAATTCATATGTAAAGTCAATGCTTCTTAGTTTTATCTAATTTTCATTTCATGTAAAGTCACATTACAATGGAATATTGTAACCATATCTCAAATATGCAAGCAAGACCTGGCAGAGATTTGATGGTTATTCATAATATATACAAGTATAGATTATATAAAATTTATTGAAGGAATGTGGAGTTGGAGTTTTGAGTGAGATGTACAGCAATATAGAAGGTTAAATAAATAAATCAGAGTAATATAGAATTCAAACATTGAA